TTCAAAATACTCCTGTATGTCTACAAATCGCTGAAAAGTTTTGCCCCCCTCCCCCCCATGTCTCTGATTTGCTACAATCGTATGTCCCACCACGATCCCTGAGGTCAGCGGACCAATTGCTCCTCACAGTTCCAGGAACTCGTCTTAAGCTCAGAGGTGACAGGGCCTTCTCTGTAGCAGGACCAAGACTTTGGAACGAGTTACCGCTGCTTGTCAGACTGGCCCCCTCCCTCTCGGTTTTCAAATCCCATTTAAAAACTCACTACTATTCAGTAGCTTTCAACACCAGAGGATCTGTGTTTTGAACCTGTACGCTCCACAATGGTTTGTTGTCATATTTATTATCTGCATCGTTTTTATGTTTATATTTTTGATTTACTTCATTTTGTATATTGCTTCGTGTGTTATCTGTTGTTCTGTCTGTACAGCACTTTGATTGGCCTTGTAGCTGTTTTAAGTGTTCTATAAATAAAATGATATGGTATGGTAAGGTATGTACATTGCTCACAAAATTAAAGGGAACACTAAAATAACAGACCCCTATGATGAGCAAAATGAATGGAATCAATGTTCCCTTGCCCGGACGTGGGTCATCGGGGCCCCACTCTGGAGCCGGGCCTGGAGGTGGGGCACACTGGCGAGCACCTGGTGGCCGGGCTTTTACCCATGGAGCCCGGCCAGGTACAGCCCGAAGAGGAGACGTGGGTCCCCCTTCCCATGGGTTCACCACATGTGGGAGGGGCCAAAGGGGTCAGGTGCAATGTGGGATGGATGGTGGCCGATGGCGGGGACCCTGGCGGTCTGATCCTCGGCTACAGAAGCTGGCTATTGGGACGTGGAATGTCACCTCTCTGGTGGGGAAGGAGCCTGAGCTGGTGTGTGAGGTTGAGAGGTTCTGGCCAGAAATATTCGGACTCACCTCAACACATGGCTCTGGCTCTGGAACCAGTTTCCTTGAGAGGGGTTGGACATTCTTCCACTCTGGAGTTGACCCTGGCGAGAGGTGCTGAGCAGGAGTGGGCATATTTGTTGCCCCCCATCTTGGTGCCTGTACGTTGGCGTTCACCCCAGTGAAAGAGAGGGTAGCCTCCCTATGCCTACGTGTGGGGGGATGGGTTCTGACTGTTGTTTGTGCTTATGCGCCAAACAGCAGCTCAGATTACCAACCCTTTTTGGAGTCCTTAGAGGGGGTACTGGAGAGTGCGCCTCCTCTGGGCTCCCTTGTTCTACTGGGGGAATTCAACACTCACGTGGGCAATGACAGTGAGACCTGGAGGAGAGTGGTTGGGAGGAATTGCCCCCCTGATCTGAACCCGAGTGGTGTTCTGTTGTTGGACTTCTGTGCTCGTCACGGATTGTCCATAACAGACACCATGTTCAAGCATAAGGGTGTCTGTCCATATGTGCTCTTGGCACCAGGACACCTTAGGCCGCAGTTCGATGATTGACTTTGTTGTTGTCTCATCTGATCTGTGGCTGCATGTCTTGGACACTCGGGTGAAGAGAGGGGCGGAGCTGTCCACTGACCACTACCTGGTGGCGAGTCAGCTCCGATCGTGGGGGAGGATGCCAGTCAGACCTGGAAGAACCCAACGTATTGTGAGGGTCTGCTGGGAACGTCTGGCAGAGTCTCCCGTGAGACGGAGCTTTAACTCCCACCTCCGGGAGAGCTATGAACATGTTCCGGGGGAGGCGGGGGACATTGAGTCTGAGTGGGCCATGTTCCACGCCTCTATTGTCGAGGCGGCTTATCGGAGCTGTGGCCACAAGGTTGTTGGGGCCTGTCACAGCGGTAACCCCCGGTGGTGAACACTGACAGTGAGGGATGCTGTCAAGCTGAAGAAGGAGTCCTATCAGGCCTTTTTGGCCTGTGGGACCCCGGAAGCAGCTGATGGGTACCGGCAGTCCAAGCAGCATGCGGCTTGGGTGGTCACTGAGGCAAAAACTTGGGTGTGGGAGGAGTTCGGAGAGGCCACGGAGAATGATTACTTCCATACGGCTTCGAGGCGATTCTGGTTCACCATCCGGCGTCTCGGGGAGGGGGGGGGGGGGCGGTATGCCACAACACTATTTATAGTGGAGGTGGTGTGCTACTGACCTCAACTCAGGATGTCG